TTATTTGCTTCACTCTACAATAGACTATACTAATGACTTGAATTTAACACTGCTGAAAACTGCTCTTTCCTGTCCTGCCACAATGATGGATGGATTTTCTGCATTGAAGATGGAGCTCCAGAGGAACATTACCATGGCCTTCCTTGCATCTCAACCAGACAATAATCAGAATTTTGGGAAATGTTGCTATTTAGTGTGAGGTGTCCCTGCCCATGGCAGGGGGTTGGAACTGGATGATCTTAAGGTCCTTTCCAACCCTAACTATTCTATGATTCTATGTGGAAAAGGCATTGTGTGAAGGAGGGGAGTGAATGGTGTGGCAAGGACATTTACACTTTCTTGCTCTATTTACTTAATTCCTCCCCAGCCTTCTTCAGCATTCTAGTTCTGATAAATATTTCACCATCTACTACCAAGGTCATGCTAAGCAGCCTCCAGTATTTCTTCTTTCTTGATATATGTATAGAATTTCTATTCAACTGGGATCTCTTCTAAAGTTACTGATAGTCTTGGGAAATCACCTTTCCCAACCATCCCTTTAAAACAAATATTTAAAGTAAACCATTTAAATCAAACATTTCTCTAATCAAACTCTAAAGGTCTGTTTGCCTCTAGGTCAGAAAAGCTAAGGATCAGAAATGTGTAAATTGATTTTGCTCTAGCTAGATTGGGTGGTCTGGATTAGAGATACCATGGAACCTGTGTTAGGAAGCTTCATAACACAACATTAATGTATAAAACAAATCCATAAACAATTAGATTTTCACCTGCAACCTTTTGTTTCCAGTCTTGCAACTGAATGCCTGGCGTTTAGTCATACTTCATAATTCCCCCTCTCCCCTCCCCTCCAACTTAGCTCTAAAACTGCCTGGCCTTTGAGGAAAGGTGAATAACACACACCAGAAAACTCGCAGTGCTCTGTATTAATCAAAGCAGAAAATTTGATCAGTATATATAGAATATTCCCTAAAGAATCTGTAACATGGAATCATGTGTTAAGAATGTCAAAGTTGGGGAGGGTTTCCTTCAAGTCAAAGTTGGGGAGGGTTTCCTTCAACCAAAAAGAAGTTTGTTTGGAGTGTTTCAAAGCATCATTTTTTCTAGGAAAACATGTCCTAGGACAAATACGAGCCAGTGCATCCTAAATTCCTCACCAGGAATAAATAGATATGGGCAAATCCCAAAGTTTTTGAAGTACAAGCTCAAAGAAGTGATTTGCTTCCCAGTAGGCGTGGTAGCTGTAGTAGTTCAAGCCAGTATGAAAACTGTCCCCAGTTGCTGGTAACCTGTGCTCAACAGAGAGCTTTTCACATTCCCGTTAACTAAAATCACAGCTCAAAATTGGTCATGTCCTGATGGACCAAGCACAATACTTAAACTTCTCAGACCGAGAGACAGCATCAGAAACAGATAGAAGTCCAGTTTGCCAGGACAGACCCTGTAAACTGGTATTACTGCATCATGGATAAACAGAAACTGCAAAGAGCAAAATATACAGAAGAAACTAAAGCAGGGCATGAAACAGCTAAACAGCTGGGGGGAAATACCCAATACAGAACCACTAAGGTGGACAGGAAGGTGAACTGCAGCAAAGATATAAAGCATTAAAGAGTAACAAGGCATAATAGAAGCCTGTTTTCTGGGCACAGACCTGAACTGATCGCGAGACTTGCGAGAGACACATGTAAGCGTACATCCTGTATCTACCAACACCTATAAACATGAGACTTCATCATCTTAGTCAAACAAATGTAAAACAAATGTAAAAGAAACAGTTCCTAGAGAGAAGCGAGAGGACTGTTTTGGATCTGACCAACGCAATGGCTCTCCATTCAGGTTATTTCAGACTTGCTAGGATTTAGAACACAAGTTCTGAGACTCTGCCTGCCCTAAGTATCAGAGCATCTTTCATTTTGACAACCTCCAAAGTTCAAATCGTGCAATAATAAAACATGTGGGGAAAAGCTTACATTAGAAATAAATAAGCACCATTCTATTCCTCCTAACAACACTAAATATTTTTATGTGTATAAACAGAAAACTAGTCTGAAAATGGAACGCTGTGATCCACATCAGAACTTTGATGCAGAGATGGCTATATACATGTGTCATAGCAGTGAGCTCACCCAGCTTCAGGAATCCCAAATGCCCTCGAGCTAACCTCTCTAACTTGCCATTTCAACTGTAAAAAACATAGAACACGAAATTATCAGAACACCCAGTACAGTAATGTATATAAAGGATGTTTACCCCCTTCTCATGTAAGAAGTATAAATGTGATTGCAGCTTATAATTAGTTAATCCATGAGTCACAGAAGCATCAACAGTCTATTTGCTCATCATGAAAATCAGATTCTCGGGCACGTAGAGCTCAAAGGCAGGCTACGTTTGTAGCAGTGAGTTCATCAGATGATTTCACTGGGGAAAATAAACTGTTACGCACTCTCATTCTCTTCCGTAGTGCACAATCAACAGCAGAGGAAATGTAACTGCTATTGATTTTTCAGCATACAGCAGCAAGAGGAACACTTCCTGCAGCTCTGCTTAGGTAAACCAGCTCAAGGCAACAGGAGATTTCGTAAGTGTGATTAGGTCAAGACCTACCCTCCAGGACAATTAGTGGTGACTTCAGACAACAGGAAAAACACAGCTTGAGCGGCTGAACAAGGTCTGGAGATCACAAGCTAAAAAACACAGTTTCTTGCAATTTGAGCATATATCATTATCTGGAAAATGACAGACACCTCCCCCCAAAATATATTTTATAACCTTGTCCACACAGAACTACACTTCTAAATATAGAGACTCATGTTACAGAGATGTAACTACTGTGTGCAGAGGAGTTATTCTTACCACCTCTATAAATAATTCATGTTTTAAAATGAATTTTTAAATATATATATGTCTATGCACACTTAATCTAACCTAACTATACTGTTCACCTTTCTTCCTGGTTTCCTAAGATCTGCTTCATCTCCGTTTTATTTCCAGGTAGTATCTAACTACTTTTGTTCATACACTGTATGACAACTTCTCACGTGTTATAACAGATGGTTGTGATGTGCACAGAATTACTTATTCAAAATAACTTTGTTAAGATTTCTTTAACAAAATTTAAGATTTTTTTTTTTTTTATCACATGGCTTTAATCCTTTAAAGGTTACATCCTACACCAAGAAAGAGTTCAAATGAAACTCACCTTGTATTTCAAGGTGAGACCAGTGATGTATGGAAGATAAAGTTTTTTCCTGATACTAAGCAGCGCAAACTATAACACATTTCCCAACCAGAATTACTCTATTTAATAAGCGTTAATTTGATTGTATAACCCCCCAAAAGGACAAACATGCCACTCCACAGACCAGCTGCTTTATCAGCAAATCTGATGAACAATGAAAAGAGGCAATCCAGGAAAAGCCAGGTACACTAAGAAACACACTGTAAGATATGATTCACTCTTTGGCACCAGCTTCTTTTACTGAATTCCCAGGAATTCCTTTGCGTTTCAGAAATTACAAAAGGAAACAGTCATCTAAGGGCATTCCCAAGAACATACGGGATCAATTTCTTACTCAAGACTTACGCAGGACAAATTTCCCTTAACTCAGTGGTGTTTTCCTTGGGGGAGTGCTGGCTTTATCCGAAGGGCTCTTAATAGCAAACTTACAGTAATCAGATGCAATGCTTGGGTTTACTATATTGATATAATACTACAAATACTGCAAATATCAAACAAAGTATTCTGTTCGATAGCTAACCCAATTCCCCAATGCTGGGTCCAAGGGCATCACTACTGCATCTGCATACACAGGATTTCTGAGTTTCTTTGCAGTTTGCTATTTGAACTGGAGGGAAACCAGATTTCTCCATTACCGGGGCTTCATCATATGTTTCTACAAAGTATTTTGACAACCAGCAAAAGCAATCTTGCTCCAGACTTTTTTTCACTCAGCTCTGCCTGTACCACAATAATGCTGAAAATATAAGATGAAGTCTACACGGTTTTTTCACTTTTCCTGCTAATGTATATGAAAACTATAAAGTGCAGGTATTTTAAAGCAGGAACTTTACTCTCTTCACAGCAAAACCAGTGTCTTGAAGTTGAAAGATGTTACTCTGTACAGATAAAAAGCCAGAAATTGTATTCCTTCAACTTCCACACACAGTTTTCACTGTCCGTACTCGAGGTATTTACATTATTTATAGGATGAAATAGCAAACACACCATAGATGTGTACCTTAGATGCTACCTTAGGCAAATGCTTTACCATTTTCTGTCACACAGGATCTTCTATGCACATAAAATTCAGCTACATTTTTAGAAGTAGCTGAGCTAATGGACTATTTTGGATGTATTACTCTTAATCTTTTGGGTAGCCCTTTTTAGCATAATTAAGGTGACAAAATAATGACACTGCACCTTGAAAAAGCTGAATTTAATCTCAGAATAACTCATGTTGGTAGGGACCTCAGGAGGCCTCTGGCCCAAACTCCTGCTCAAAGCACTTCCAATGTTTGATTACCCTTGTAGGGAAACGGTTTTCATTATATTCAATTGCATCCTCTCTTGTCTGAACTTAATCCATTGTCTTCATTGAAATGTCGTATATTGCATTTCACACTCACTGGTATTGTTAGTGAGGCTTACAGTCCATCACCAGTGGAACTGAGCATCGCAACGTTGAAGTTCAGTATCTTCTTTCATCATATCATAGAATCAGACTAATCTGGGTTGGAAGGAACCTTAAAGATCATCTAGTTCCAAGTCCCCTGCCCCTGGCAGGGACACCATCATGTTCCAAGTCCTGCACATTCTTCCATGTAGATTCTTCACTGTTGTGCCTGTTCACCCTGACACCTACAAGTAGCTCAGGTGCTAACACAGGAGACTGCTCTCTATCACACTGACTGAAGTCTTCTCTTTTTGCCCCTCTACCACTTGCATGCAGCAATTTTCACTTGCACTGTACTTGGATAGATGTGCTTTTTGGTCTAGAAGCATGCATGATAGTGCTGAACCTAGTGCAATCAGGCTGCATGTACGTATAGATTTCTGTGTTGTATACATTATCATATACACGCATACATAGACACATGATAAACATTATTACAAATAATAATCAAATGTAACCTAGGCTTTATTTTTGCACTGGTTTAAGGCGTTTTCCTTCTAAACGGTTCTTCCCCTATGATAACGTGGACATAACTAAACCAATCTAAAAAATACTTCAGCATCAGTCCAGCTCACCATACCTCTCTCCTATAAGAAACAGCATAGAATCATAGAATCACAGAATAGTTAGGGTTGGAAAGGACCTTAAGATCATCCAGTTCCAACACCCCTGACATGGGCAGGAACACCTTGCACTAAACCATATCATCCAAGGCCTCATCCAACCTAGCCTTGAACACTGCCGGGGATGGAGCATTCACAACCTCCCTGGGCAACCCATTCCAGTGCCTCACCATCCTCACAGGAAAGAATTTCTTCCTTATATCCAATCTAAACTTCCCCTGTTTAAGTTTTAACCTATTACCCCTTATCCTATCAGTTCAGTCCCTAATGAAGAGTCCCTCCCCAGCATCCCTATAGGCCCCCTTCAGATACTGGAAGGCTGCTCTGAGGTCTCCACACAGCCTTCTCTTCTCCAGGCTGAACAGCCCCAACTTTCTCAGCCTGTCTTCATATAGGAGGTGCTCCAGTCCCCTGATCATCCTCGTGGCCCTCCTCTGGACTTGTTCCAACAGTTCCATGTCCTTTTTATGTTGAGGACACCAGAACTGCACACAATACTCCAAGTGAGGTCTCATGAGAGCAGAGTAAAGGGGCAGGATCACCTCCTTCGACCTGCTGGTCACGCTCCTTTTGATGCAGCCCAGGATACGGTTGGCTTTCTGGGCTGCAAGCGCACACTGAAGCCAGCTCATGTTCATTTTCTCATCGACCAACACCCCCAAGTCCTTCTCCTCAGGGCTGCTCTGAATCTCATCTCTGCCCAGCCTGTAGCTGTGCCTGGGATTGCTCCGACCCAGGTGTAGGACCTTGCACTTGGCATGGTTAAACTTCATGAGGTTGGCATCAGCCCACCTCACAAGCGTGTCAAGGTCCCTCTGGATGGCATTCCTTCCGTCCAGCGTATCAACCGAACCACACAGCTTGGTGTCATTGGCAAACTTGCTGAGGGCGCACTCAATCCCACTGTCCATGTCAGTGACGAAGATGTTAAACAAGACCGGTCCAAACACCAACCCCTAAGGGACACCACTCGTTACTGGTCTCCAGCAGAACATTGAGCCATTGACCACAACTCTTTGTGTGCGGCCTTCCAGCCAGTTCTTTATCCACTGAGTGGTCCACCCATCAAATTGATGTCTCTCCAGTTTAGAGACAAGGATGTCGTGTAGGACAGTGTCGAACGCTTTACACAAGTCCAGGTAGATGACATCAGCAGCTCTACTCCTGTCCATCAGTTCCATAGCCCCATCATAGAAGGCCACCAAATTGGTCAGGCAGGATTTCCCCTTAGTGAAGCCATGCTGGCTGTCACCAAGCACCTTGTTGATTTTCATGTGCCTTAGCATGCGCTTCTTCACTGTTGGCGCCGGCAGAGCCAGAGCCGAGCCCAGCTGCCGCTGCCCGCCCCGCGGGGCCCGGTTCATGGTAAGGGTCGGTGTCAGGGCGGGGGCAGGGCACTCACACACCGGCCCGAGCCCCTCTGGGGGACGCGGCCCGCGGCGGGCGGCTCGGCCTCGGGGGTCGCCGGCGGCGGGGAAAGCCCCGTTCCGGGCCGGGAAGTTCCGGCAGCGGCTCCTGCTGGGACGCGGCGCTACGTGCGGGGCTTTCGCAACGCAGGGGGAACCGCGCCCCGCAGCCGCTGGAGGGACCCCGCTGCACCAGGCCCCCCTCAGCGGCCTCCTTCATTAGCCACAGCCCCCTCCTCCCCTAGCGGCTGCAGCTCCCCCTCTTTCCGCCCGGAGCCCCCTCAGCATCTCCCCCCTCATCCCCCTCAGCTGCCTTCCCCTCGTCCCGCCCGCACTTCCCGTCCCTTCAGCCGCTCGCCCCAGCTTTCGGTCCCCTCCTGGCTCAGGCCCCCTCGCCCTCCTCTCCTCTTCCCCCTCCCTGGGGTTCCCCGGCCGGCCTTGCCCCCGGGACTGCTCCCCCGCCGCGGGGCTCCCCAGCCGCAGGGGCGGAGCGCGGCCCGGCCCGCGCTGTAGGAAAGCGGTGGGGAAGGGCAGCAGGCGGGTCCTGCGAGCCCTTAAAGGAGGGCGGCCATCCTCCTCCCCCGGCGGAAAGGCGGAAGAGCGAAGCAGCAGCGACAACAACAACAGCAGCAGCCGCCACTCCAGCCCTGCCTGGCTCCTCTCCGTGTTTATATGCACCTGGCCGGATTACTGCTCGCCTTGGAGAAGGGAGAGAAGGGGCAGCAGCGGGATCGCGGCTCACGCTCCCCGGCCATGTGCTCGGTAAGCGAGGGCAGCAGCACGGACCCCTTGGCGGCCCGCTTCAAGCAGGTGGAGGAGACGCTGGAGAAGCTGCACCGGGAGAACAAGAGCTTGAAGAATAAAGTGCCTCGGTACAACGCGCTCTGCACCTTGTACCACGAGTCCGCTCAGCAGCTGAAGCACCTCCAGCTGCAGCTGGCTGCCAAGGAGGCCACGATCCGGGACCTGCGGAGCAGCCTGGCCCGGCGGCCCCAGCAGCCGCAGCCGGCGGCGGGCGGCGAGGCGGGGCCTGCGGGCGCGGAGCCGGCGCTGTCGCTGGTGGAGAGCCTGCTGGAGCAGCTGGGCCAGGCCCGGGAGCAGCTCCGGGACAGCGAGCGGCTCTCGGCGCAGAGAGTGGACGCCTTGAGCCAGGTAAAACCGCGAGTGCCCCACAGCTAGCGCTGGCCAGGCAGGGCCTCGGCGGTCACGGCGGAGATGCGTTTGAGCGCTCCTCTCTAGACAAAAATGAGTTAATTTAGGCTTAGTGTGTCCTGCAGTGGTTGTCTTGAATGGAGGATATGGGCCTTTTGCATGCAGACTCGCGTTTATGGAAACAGACCAGGGTGCTGACAACTTAGAATCGATCATAGAATCACATAATACCAGGCAGAAGGGAACTCCTGGATATCTGGTCCAGCCTTTCCAGGCTAGACTAGATGTCCCAACACCTTGACTAGCCGAATCTGTAAAGTGTCCAACGTTGGGGAATCCACCACTTCCCTGGGGAGATCATTCCAATGGCTGATGGTTCTCACTGTGAGAACTTTCCTGTGGTGTCCAGCTGGAATTTCCCCACTTGGTCTGAGTGAGCCAGGACAGGAGAGTGAACGTTCTGCTCGCTGCATGCAGTTTGACAGACCTTGGTCTGACAAGTTCTTGCTGTGTGCCCAGAGTCAGACTGAAAAGCAGCTCAGCCATCTGTATCCAACAGTAGTGTCCACTGCATTAAGTTCAAGAAGATAAACTAACATCCGAACCCCAAAACTTAGTGTGGTATTATACATCTTCATGCAGTTATTATCACAAGTAGATGGAAATAGAGTAAAACCCCCTAATTTCAAAGTTACATATTACTGAGGATCCTCCTCTTTATCAGACACAACAGTTTTGTTCTGTAAGATAAACAGCTGATGCCACCACTTTTTCTGTTACAATGTTGTCTTGTGCTTTTTAAGTGTACTTAAAAATAGATTTTTGTATTGACATTAAAGCAGCACTTTTCTACTTGGAGAAGTACTTGGCAAGTCTGGATTGTGACTAGATAAATGAGGGAAAAACTGGTATCTTTTATGACAGGATAAAGTCTCAATATTGCATTCCCTTCCATCTATCACAAGTGCTGGTTTTGTTACTGTCATTGAGACTTTCCCATGTTCAACCTGAAATGCTTAAAGAATTTTAAAGCATTTCTTCCTATATGAAGGTGCATAAAGTAATTTCCAAACTGACAAGCAATGCTTAAAATTGAAACAAGTATTTTTGTCATAAGAAATCTCCTGACCTAATGCTTATACAAAACATTTTCCATATATGACACTCACCTAAAATACATTTAAATAAGTTCATGTATGGAAATTTGTAGTAAGAGATGATCTTACTGACACTTTGCAGATAGATGACAAACCTGTGGGATCTGAATATCTTTTGAAGTCAGAATGTCTTTATAGCAAAGGGAAAATTTAGCATTTAGCATGATGCTAAAGAACATAAACATCAGCAATAAGAGCAAGTACTGTTTCTTTAAGTTAGATATTAATTTTATTCTTTTTTAGAAAAAAACATTTTATGCCCAATTAGAAACACTGAAATCACTGTCACTGAAAATAACAACAGCAGATATTTTGTGAAGTCAGAGGCCTGTGTGCTGGGAAAGAGTGCTGCTGGTTGGTTACAGCTCCGTTAGCACTCCTGAAGAACTGGAAGGCTAGAATCAAGCTTGTACCTGTCTCATGGTCTACGATGGCATCCAGGGCATCGTTGATTCTGGAGGAGCAGTGCTGCAGAGGTTTCTGTTACCAGCACCTGCTGCTTTTGAGGATATCAGACTTGGGACTGGTGTACTTGGGATGTGTGGAATCACCTGGGTTAACCCAGCTGGCAAGCAAGCCTCTTCCTTCTCAAAACACCTGCGGATATATAACTTAATGCAGTGTGGATTATCCCCACAAAGCATCCAAATCAATAAGAACATGCAGCAACAAGATACACAGTTGTTCCCCAAGAGCATGTTGAAGCCCTTTGGACATGTGCCTTGGCCAGTCAGCTATGGCCAAAACAGAGTCGCTGCTCGCATCGGGATTTCATTTACTGTTTGCTTGTCCTTAGCACTCATCCTTTCCCAGATGGGAAACTTGCTCTGTATGCTCCCTCTGCTTTGTCTTCTGACAGTTCCAGGCAATGAATACACCTCGATGGTTTTGATGACTTTCCAGTTCCCTTTTTCCTAAAGCTAATCTCTACTATCTGGTAATTTAGAAAGCAGGACCAGTAAGCATTTCTCAGGCTCCATAGTTATTCCTTTTAAACTACTTTGTTTCTTGCAAGTTCTGTTGTTACTTTGTTGTTGCTGCTGCTTATCTTACCATAAAATCCTGAATTTTTGCTGGGTTTTTTCCCCTCAATTCTACTGACTAGGAACTGCTTGTATAGCTGTCTGAGCAGTTCCTGATTTTGATTTATCTGTCAGTTCCAAGGTCAAGTGATTATCTATAAATGAGTTGGACTTTACTTTTTAAGTACTTTGCAGTGAGTGATACGGAGTTATGGCAATATGGAATTCAGTCTTAGACATATTTTGGCTTTTGAGTTCACCTTACTTTTCAGTAACTTCCCCTCCCCTTTATGTTTAGGAAGTACAGAAGTTGAACCAGCAACTAGAGGAGAAAAATGGAGAGATACAGCAGATGATAAATCAGCCTCCATATGAAAAGGAGAGAGAAATCTTGCGACTTCAGAAGAGCTTGGCAGAGAGAGAGAAGGCTCAGGCCACCAGTGATGTTTTGTGCCGTTCACTCACTGATGAAATGCACCAACTTCAGCGCAAATTAGCTTCCACAGCTGAAATGTGTCAACATCTGGCAAAATGTCTAGAAGAGAAGCAAAGAAAAGAGAAGGGGAGTTCAGATGACCAGATACCCACTGAAAGACCTAATCAGGTATTTTTACTGCTACTGTATTTCTTTAAAGTCTTACTACCTTCCAAGGTGTTAATAACAATGTGAAAGTTGTAATTGGGGAATGGTGAGAAACATCCCCTTATATAATTTCATGTAGGGTGAAAAGGCTATCATGGCAAGCTCTAAATAATTCTGAGTACCAACAGTTTAGGATGGAAGCAGTTGTCAGTGCCTTGCATTTTGGCCGTCTCACCACCAGAGGCTTTATTTTGAGAGAAGAGAATCCTGAGAGGTCCCTTCCAGCCTCAGCAATTCCATGATTACAATTCTTCCTGGTATAAACAGGAGACAGGATCTTCTTATACCACAGCATGCTTCTGTGCATCACTAGATGGTGCTGCACTTAAGAAGGTGGTATCTCCTCATTTTTGTTTTAGCATCTAAATCACCACAAAACAGAGGTATTTTAAAGTAGTATTGATATTAAGAACTCTCTAGCATGTGCTCAGGTCATGATTTGGCTTTGTACATAGTACAGACCTACAGAAAGCTGGTGAGGGAAGAAGTCAAGGTGTCTTACCTTTGTTTCTTTGCTCTGGGGTTTCCCCCCAGCCTCCCAGTGCAGGGCAATGTTTCTCTCCAGCAGGAAGGTTTAGATAGGAAGGTGGCAGAAATGCTACTGAGGGGCACAAAGAAACACCTGGATTTCAGTGTACTTTATGGCTGTGTGGTTTTGCTGCATCTTCACCTTAGCTGAAGCTTTCCAGTGTAGGGTAGAGGTAGATCCTGGTCTGTTGTTCCAGAAGACATGATGGTTCAGAGTCATTAGGTAATTCATAATACCATAAGGAAATAACATTAAGAGGTGCTGCCTCCAGTAACAGACTGAAGTATTGAGGAGGATGTTACAGCTAGTTTTCACAAGAAAGAGTAATTGTCTCATGTTCTTACTGCTTTGTAGCAGTAATGCCATGTTTCACATGACCACTCATCTATGCTTTTATGATAAACTCCACATGCGTGCACTTACACGTCATAAAATAACCCAAGAGCATTTCCCCAGAAAACTTACATCACTTACCTGTAAGAAATAGTTAGAGGTTGACTAGATCTAAGAAAAAAGGACTTTTTAAGAGACTCAAAGCATTTAGTATTATCATACTTTACGTGTAATTGATAGACAGGAAACTTGATTGACTTCAATACGTGTAATAAGTAGCTAACCTTATACAGTGGGGACTTCCCTGTTGAAGAAGAGAAATTTCAGATGCAATTACTAGCTGATTCTAGGGAATTTTGTACAAAAGTGTTCTATATTACTCATGTACACCGGGGTTTTTTTAAGCAGATGTCACAACTGTAAAAAAAAAGGTATCATTTTAGTTAATTATTTAGCAAGCAGGGTTGGTTTTTTTTTCCCCCCTCAGTAATTTCTTCCTAGTAGTGGCCAAAATTGACAGTAACAACAAAGCAAGATGGAGGCACATCTGTGTTGTTGTCATGCGTTCCTCCACTCCAAACAAGTAGTTTCCAAGGAGTTTGTGTAAAATGTTGTCGTCATCAGACCCTCATGCATGTAAAATGTGGGGTATTGTTACCTTCAGTAGGCTCAGAATTTGGTAAGGCAGATATGTTTTTATGACACCACACAGATCTACTTAAAAAGCCATACCAAGGTGGCAAAAATCTGAATACCTTTTTGCTTTATTAATAATAAAAGCTGTAGGCTACACTACTAGTATTTAAAAATATACTATAAAGAGATAGACCTAGGTGTGTTTGTTTCACTGAGAGCAAACACTTTAGAGGAACTTAGGAAAGATTAACAGCATACCTAAGTAGCATTTGAGATTTTTATGTTAAAGTAACACTTCCTTTTTCTAAAACTTACAGCTTTTAGACAATGAAACTTCACTTCAAGCACTTATCTGCAGCCTACAAGATGAAAACAGGATGTTAAAACAAAAAGTAGCTCACGTGAGTACTTTCATTTTGTACAAGATTAAGATTTGATGAAGTATTTTGAATTATAGTACATTTGGAATAGGTGAGGCCTGGTAATCTAATTAAATGGCACTTTAATGCAAGTCCAAACTTCTTATCTTTTCAACATGGCAAACAGTCTTTGTTCCTTAGCTGAGAACAACAGATTACATTATTTTTTAAGATACTGGGGGTTTTGTTGTTAAAAATACGCTGCAGAAGAAAATTTTCTTGTTCCTTCCATGCATCAGCATTCCACCCCAGGAGAACAACAGCACTAGGCCAGGGCCACCTCCATCTTCTAAAGAACTTTGGTCCTGCACACATAAGCACTCTGTGAAAGCTTGGAAGTTTATGTCTTCATGTTTGTGCCTTCATGTTCTTCATGACTGTCTTGGGTAATATTTCAGGTGGAAGACTTAAATGCCAAATGGCAGAAATACGATGTGAGTAGGGATGAGTATGTGAAGCGACTCCACTTGCAGCTAAAAGAGATGAAGGCACAACTGGAGCAGCAGCACGGCCTAGCTTCAGCACCGACGAATTCTGACCTGATGCGCAAGGAGATATTCCGGTTAAACAAGCTTCTGGAAGAAAAAATGAATGAATGCATAAAAACAAAGAGAGAATTAGAAGATGTGAAGAAGGCTAGTGAAGGAGATAATGAGCGCATACAAATGCTGGAGCAACAGGTCATTAAGTTTCTTTTTCCTAGAGGCAGGAATTCCTAGTTTCTCTCCAGACCACTGAAGTCTAAGGGGGGGAAATGAAATGATTTCCTTTGATGTTTGCCATTTGGCTTGCCACATTTGGCTATAGAGATACTTAACAGATTGAAAGAAAACCCTCTACTTACAGAACTGCATGCGGTTCTGCTGGCTCTAATACAAAATATGGAAGATCTGAAGAAGAAATATAAATGCTTTTGAAGTACAGATATGATAGAGAAGATATGGGAAGATAGATAGAGATGGGAAGATATGGGAGAAGATAGAGAAGATTATGGGAATAAGTGTTTACAAACAAAGGAATCGCAACCTCAGCGTTTTGATCTAACCTGCCAGCCTTCTAATTCCTAAAATATTAACACAATAATTCTGTTTTCAGGTCCTAGTTTATAAAGATGATTTCACATCTGAGAGATCAGACAGAGAACGAGCACAGACCAAAATACAAGAGCTTCAGGCAGAAATTGCATGCCTGCAACACCAGCTAGCAAGAAGACAGGTAAGGAAGCAACATGTTACTTTTTCAATTAAGGCACATCAAAAGGATTCAGGACTAAAATATAGTTTTAAGTATACTTAAAAATAATTCAGTACTTCTAAAACCATTTCATCTCAGTGCAGCTACCAAAAACTTACATATCAGTCAGTTTTCATGGAGATGCTTCCCAATACATACATAATACCCCTTCCCAGTCTATTTTGGATCAACATAGCAAGGGTGATTTCTTGGAAGGAAGAGAAGGATAGCTGTGACTCGTATAACAGTGGCATAGTGGCTCTATTCTGTTTCCTACAAGTCATCTTTACAACTTTATTAATAAAATCACAAAAACTGATGCGTATTTTAATTACAAATCTTCTGATCAAACCATGAGCAGTGTTTCAGATAAAAGTGATAATCTATTGAATAATATCTTTTTAGCACATCTTCTTCAAGAGCTGTTGTTTTCTCTTTCCAGGACTCAAGAGACACAAACAGTCGTTTCAGAGTTCACATAGGTAACCAAAATCATATGTACGTGCAGACGAACGTTGAACATCTACAAGGCAGTAGCCCAGGCCAAACAGGCACGAGAAGGACTTCTTCACAGTCTGAACAAGCTTCTCCTCCTGCGGACAGTGGAGACTCTGAACTCGAGGGCAGGGCACAGGGTGAACTTAGATGCCCTCATTGCATGAGGTTTTTCAGTGATGAACTCAGCGATGAATTCCTGAAGCATGTTGCTGAATGTTGCCAGTGACCATGCGGTGTGACGCGTGTTAAGTCGATCACTACTCTATAGACAGCAAAACCTTGCTCTGGACGTATCTCCTTCAGTCCTAAGCCAGAGTGATTCAGCTCTTAGGAATCTTAGGATGAGCAGTATCTACCTCTGACTTGATTTCACCTTCTCTTGGACTGTATGAAAGGCTTCAAGATAAAGCAAGATAAAGCAAAGTGTTTTTATGAAGAATTATTTTTGACAAGTACAAGGAATGCAAGCTTAATGCAAATCCTGCTACAGGTTAAACTGAAAAATACAGTGGTAGTTAGCTTCAGAGCGCAGCTTGAGTTGTGTTTGAGTCTAACTCTTTACAGCAGTTGGAAGGCTTGGGAAAAACAAATGACTGAACTTGAGATTTTCCTCCCCTTCCAAAAACGTAAGCTGAAGAACAGGGGAGGAGTTCTTTGGCACAAGACAGTAAAAATCTTGTGCTGTATCTGGATTAAAAGTGAAAGTATTTTCTTGTCTATTGAGGCTGAACTTTCAGACATCACATCGGAAAATCCTTGTGTTCAACTGAAATCAGGAGAAGTGAAGAAACCATAAAAGGGCTGGTTATTGACTAAGACCAGCCTGTCTTTTTTGCACAGAAAGAGTGTAAAGGGATATTTATTTTTTCTGTGCCTTAACTACCTGTTTACACATCTGTAAATGTGTATTTGTGTAACTATTGACTGTATTCCTATTTTACCCAAGGATTATTTTTATAATAAAAGTGATTGTGCAGTTGCTTTACTACATTAGTAAAGTGGTCAAAAATCTCTTTCAGTGTAAATATTTAAAGGTGAAACAGTCCCTGGAACTGCACTAAGGCCTAACTAAATGTCATGGTTTCAGATACGAGTTATTTCATTACCTCAGTCTCCGACTATTTTCAGATATGTTGACAAACCACTCCTCATTTATGCAAGGAAGAATGACCTTTAAGATGCACAAGAACATGTTTAACGCCCTACCCTGTCACACATCTGTGACTGTGCCAGTGCTAGCCTGTATTTCTTCTTATCCTCTCTGCAGTGGTGATAACTTGAACGAGTAGCAGGGGCCTGTTTTGAGAAGTATCGGAAGCTAAAGTATACAGATATAACAGGGCCACAGGGTTTCTCAGCCTTGGCTTCAGGTATTTCTTGCTGTGTCAGATCTAGAGTTAAAGATGGGATACAGAGTAAAGAAAGTAGAGGCTGAGTGCAACCACAACCTTTCATCATTAAAGAAAACTGCTCTGTATAATGACACTCCTGCCTTGCTTCCTTCCAAGTACTACACTTTAGGAAGATGTGGCTATTTTCCTCGATACTTCCTTTTCAGGATGCTGTTTCAGCCCTAAAGGAAGATAATGGTTGATGCCAATGTTGCCTTAGGTGGGTTACTACCAAAAAAGATGCCCAGGCCATTGTGTGCAGTTGCAATAGTTCTTACCAATCTAATCTTGAACTGATTGCAAACCTGTGATTGATTACTCCCAACACAACATGCACAAACAGGCAGAGATGTTTTCCTCTTTTTTTAGTGACCATTTTAGACATTGCCTTTTAAGGCCTCAGAGATCAGATGCAGCCCACAGAATTCAGGCTGAGAAACAGATGATTAAACTTCCTGTGGCATAAACTAATCTGACTTTTCCTGGCTGTTCTCATTAGACAAGCCTTGTTTACAGCTTCAATGTACATCAATACTACACTGACGGTGACTGATACAGCACAATATGGACTTCTTTTCCCAGTAATTAACATTACAAGACAGTTAGAAACACAGTAATAAAGTAAGTTAGGTCCTGGTGGCACCTTTTTTTTTACTGCACTGAGATGATCACTAATGTATGTCAGAAGCTCAAGTCTGCTATTGGCTTCTACTTATGTTAGCCCCAGTGGGTTATAGTTGGACAGACTGACAACTATTAGAAATAGATGCAAGAATTAGATGTGAGAATCTGCAGTACACAAATAAATTGTACCTATCCTTGTAGATTTAAGATCAATGAATTAGTCCCAAGTCAAAGCAGAGAGAGATTGGTATGAATTATGAGAAAGGAGGGCACTCCAGTGACAGGAAGCAAGATGTACCTGCAGTGTGGGCCACACTGGACCAACAGACACAAACACATGAAGTTCTAGATCAAGCACAGATTCCATCTACTACCTAAAGCTGTGCAGTAAGTGATGACTGAAATTTGGATGCCGGTGGCAAAAAATCTAGGACGGACCTGTTTGTTTTCAGTATAAAAATACCTTGTTTCAGAGATATTTTACTTTACCATTTCCTACTGAGTTTTTTGGGGCTGCTAAAAAGCCTTACCTATTTTTTTCTTGTTTTGGCTTAACCAAGAACCCAGTTACACACACTGCAAAGATCTATGGGTGTCTTACAGGCAAATTTTTGTTTAAGATTATAGGGCATAACCTATCCTCCTATGAAAACTTGTCTGTTACCCAGTGCTCTGACTTTTACACTGAAGTCACTGGTAGATCTCTTGGGTAAACACTAGAAAATCTTTACTTGCCCTCTCCTCAGCAGGCAAAGCACACACATCAAGGCATCCCCCAAGCAAGCATAACCACCTACATTCACAATCCACAGCTTGCAGAGCAGACGGCATAAAACCTGTCAGCTCCACTGCCCCATTACTGAAGTGAAAGCAGCCACAAGTTCCCAGCATTTTTAAACCCTTTAGATTAAGGAAGGCTCCTTCTGGCCTCCCACTGGTCTTCTTTGCCACTTGAATGGCCATCCAACTAGTGTATGTGTTTTTTTGGTTAAATGGAAACAGCAACCCATCTTCTTTCCTAAAAGAAAGCAATAAAAACATGCAAATAAGAAAGTAACTGCATAAAATGAAAGGAACTTCAATAGCATAAACTTTATGAACTTTCATTATCCATTTGTACAACACTAGTTCACTGAAGCACGCATCACCTGCAGAGCTGCAGCAACAAGAGACTCCAGAAACCGTAAAGTGATGTGACTGTATAGCACTCAGTTCCTTATGTGCTGTATTGGAGACAAAAAGCATCCAGGATAAATGAACCCCATTATCAGGCAAAGTAAACCCCTGCTTGGGCTTCAGTAAATCTCTAGCTGCTGATGTTCTGGAGAGGCATGCCAATACTAGAAGACAGACAGAGGTACCACTGTAGGACCAAGGAGGCTGGGGGGTAGAAGCAAGGTAACTGTCTCTTCTGGGTCTTGCAGGAATGTGTCTTGGCGCATTAAGAGCTGCCAAGATGTATTTGTCCAGTTACCTTCATGATTAGTCCATCCCTTCTGAAATACCTCCCTAAGTGAGCTTCCCTCAGGTTTGCTCTCCAAACCAGCCTCAGTTCAGACCCTGGACAAGCTCAGACCTCCTAAGCAGCTGTCTCACCAACAACAAGGGATTCAGATCATCTATCCTCTAACTACTGGTTCTCATTACTCCTGGATTTAATTAGAATGGAGGCCCTTAGCACACGATCACAGCAGCAGCTGTAGGCGAGACTGACTCACTGCATCCCAGAAAATACAACTGGGAGAAGCCTCAGAAGCTGGTCCCTACCCCAAAAAGCCCTAAGAGAGGAGATCAGTAATGCTGGCTTCTGTAGCATGAGCAGTGAGTGTTAAGGCCAAAAAAGGCTTCTCAGGTCTTCCACAACTTTTTCAGGCCATGCCTGCTTCTTCCTCCAGTGATTTAGGACATCACATCGAGGTTAACTGCTCACTAATAATAAAACTGACTACAAGAATAAAACTTGTTCAAGTAGCAGATACCTATGCTCTATGGTTATTTTTTTAAACTTCCATTTCCTGTGGCTTTGCTGCATGTGTATATATAGAAAGCAAGGGAAATTCCAAACAAGATGCCACACGGCTGTACTCAGAACAACAGTGTTCTCATTCTAAAAAAAGGGAACTCTTTTTCTACAAAATCTATGTGAATTCAAAGTATGCTGTACTAATATTTCCTAGTACCGTGCTCCAGTAGCTGTCAGCTGCAGGGAGGAGGGGAGCCTCAGTTAAAACCTAAAGCATAGGAAGTACTTACAAGGTACTCAGTCCATGCAGCAGGACCTCAGCAGAGGGTCAAGGTATCAGTTTAAGCACTCCTGCCTGTTCAGCTGATGCCTCAATTCACTTGCTAATGGCTGAGCACCAGCCCAGCAGCCTCACTTAAGTGTCCCCTGCTGCAGGCTGCCCTAGCTGGGGGACAGAGCTCCTGCAAGGTCTGGTGGGGATGCACAAGGTGCTGCAGTAACTGCTTACATAGGGGCTGCTGAAAGGCACCAACCACCCCAAGCAGCACAGCACTTGTGTGTCTCCATTCCCACTGCTGCCCAGTGCATCCTTCCCCTTTCTCTTTAATACATCCACTTTTCCCTCCTCTTTTTACATGTACGGGTAAGAAGCTGTTGGTGCAGAACTCTTCACTGAGTGTGTGGTGTTGATAATGGCTGGTAGCCTCCCTTTCATAGCACATGGTGCTCTGCTGTGGATAACACTGAACCAGATGGTGGGTTATGAGACTGCTTATTTCTAGAAGGCACCAAAAAAAACCCCATTTGAAGTGTGTACTTGGCTTAACTACACTTGGTTCCTCACCATCCTTCCCTGGGCCATCCCTCCAGCACTACAGCCTTCTGCAGAGCTGTATGATGGATGGGCTGAGCACCCATGAGCAGGGCAGATCTGGTTGCTGTTGTTGACATCTGTTTCCTTGGTGTCATGGACTCACCTTGCCCAAGGCTTTCACACTCTAATTTCTCAAAAAGAAAATTAGCACTCACCCAATCTCTTTGTCAAATTTGCTTCATACAAGAAGCATTTGTGCTGGCTTGTTGGGTTTTTTAACTGCCAACAGGCACCTTCTTGGTTACACACAAGTATCACAGGCAATTTTTACAGGAGGGACACACATTACCAGGCAGGCCTGGTGTCTGACCTGTCAGTTCTTCGACCAGCACTAGCACACTCACATGCCTTTCTGAGCTGCTTGGTTCTTGCTGCAGCCAGACTTCCTCCAGCCACATCCCAAACCTCCCCTGCACAACCCCAAGTGGCATGGCCAAAAAGGACAGAGGGTTTCACAGCTTCATGTCCTGCTCCACTGCAATCTGGGCTTCTCTGGACCTTCTCTGCTAAGGCAGGTGCCTGCACCAAGGGAACAGTGCCTTGCTGGTGTAGAGGACAAGGTGCCAAGCTGTGGTCCCCTCCAGCTGTGGCCCTGCAAGTCTCACTGCCAGCTGTAGTGTGCGTGAACCAGCCACCTGCACCCACCATCTGGGCCCCATACCAGCTCATTTGAGGGGGAAAGGAGTCAAGAAAGGAGCTCAGACACCCACACAGGATTCAGCCCTCGTGCTGGTCATGACCACCACATCTCAGAGAAGCTTGAGCATCCAGGGAGGCATGCAAAGGTCCACAGACACCTGAGGAACAACATTATCAAGAGAAAGGGGGACTGGTGGGATGTGAAGTGACTCATGCTCACTACAGCTAAGTGCAGTTCAAAAGGGCATCCTTCTCTTTCCCACCATCTGAACTTGCCCTCAGTGATGCAGATCTAATCTAGTGGGTCTCAGCTCCTCTTCTGACCTCAGCATTAAGCACCTGCTCCACCTTCTGCAAATTCTATTCTCACCTTCCCAAGGACAAAGGATGGAGCTTTCTCTTGTGCCAACCCCAGCAATAGCTGGCAGATTGGAACCAGACAACTCCAGAGGAATAGGGATCTTCCTTTGATTTTGGCTGCTGTGATAAGGGGCCTCTCTGCCCTTCATCAAAACCAGTCCTCATTTGAGTGCTAAACTAGTGGTTGATTCCTATCAGCACAACCTCATCACCGTCACCCAAAGAATGGGCAACAACTTACTTTGTGAACTGTTCTGAGGCTTGGTTTGCTTGCACCTACGCACACCGGTCACAAGGCATTACACCCCCTCCTATGAAATATCAAAGCCTTCAACTCCTGACAATAACCCCTGGGGGGTTAGAACAGTGCGTGCTGAGAAGTGTAGCTCCTGTGCAGTGCAGACTGCACTGTTCTTGCCTTGCTCCTCAAATCAGGGTTTGCGCTCACCTTGTCCTAACCTTCACCGTGGTGGCATCTTCAACAGGCAGTGGGCAAATATGAATTTGTACCTCTGTGGTTCCCAGGTGACGCCTCAGAGAAAGTTTACTGGAGCTTTAACCTTCCTTAAATGGCAGCAAAACTCAATAACAACTTCCTCTTAGCACAGCTGAGGAACTTCAAATGTGCAGTGTTGCAAAACAGCATGAGGACACTCTCCTCTCTGCTGTACTCTCTTGCATGCTTTACTATCAAGTTGTTACACACACTGGGCAGTGACAAGGTTGGGAAATACTTGAGCAATAAAAACCACTCTTGCAGCCTGGAAAGGCAGGAGAGTGCCACCTTCTACTCTCCTCTGGAGTCAGGTTGTGTCTTTGTGTTCCCAGCAGCTGTAAACCATCTGCAGTCACCAAAATGTATAGCTGGACCTCTTTTAGACTCTGAGCAACTGAATGATTTTGATTCAAGCCCCAAAAGGATGCCTGTGCATATATATATATGAGAGATGCCTGCACTACAGATATAAAAGAAATACTTGCAAGTATTTCTGTTTTGCTGCAATAGTGCAAAAACAAATAGTGAGAACAGATAATAACTTGTAAGAGATTTTCACAAAATTCATCTCTTAAGTTGCTTCCTTAACCAGAGGGCCACACAATGTCCCCAGCATCTACAGAAAAGGACCCCAGTATCTGTAAGTAAGAAGCTTGGCTTGTGTACTTAAGTGATTCTTCTGAACCTTTGAGCAGTTTGTCTACAAGCTGGTGTTAATACTGTTATAGGCTTGAAGTAGCTGATGTTTGAGTGGACTTCAAAAGTCAAGCTCCAGTCTCCTCCATGCAGCTTTCAGCTTGAGGAAGACAGTTGTGACTCACTTCAGCTCTGTGACACCCTGCACAATACAGGGGCATCCCTGCAGTTCTAGAGATGACGATAACACAAACCAGAAAGAGCTTTGTGTGAACAGTGCAACTGCTTTGACATCATTTCAATAGGACAAACCTGTGAATGCCTCTCCCTGAGTTGTCTCAGTTGTTTTATGCAAGGGCTAGCAAGTTGCATTAACCCACACGTGTAGGCAGTCACTGATTTGACATGCCCAGGTCAAAGAGGCTAACTCTGAGACCTGATGCACTGTTGTAGTTTAAGGCTGTGTCCACATTTGGGGGGTTATGTACTTAAATGATTACAAACAATCATGCACTTTTTAAGTGCATTTAAAAAGCAAACAATGCACCAAACCTGTTAAAGTTATATAACTAAAAAATACCAGCTATAGAACAATGAGCAAGTCTCCAGCATCCCCAACCCCACTTGTAGTAGCAACACAACCTGAAACAGTCCTTCAGCTCTTCAGTGCACCAAACCAGTAAAACCTGTAGCTACACAGTTGTTTATACTGGTGCAGTTACTCCCAACTACTGATGCAATTGCTCATGAGTCAAGTGAGTCTGATCTACACAAGAGGCTGACAGCTGAGGCAGGTAATGAACTCAGATCCCAGTGTAAGCATTGCAGGATCCTTCACATTTGGAAGGGTGGAATCTCTTTGAAGCAAGAGCTGTAGACTACAGGTTCAGAAAATGTCAACTTGTGTTTGTGTGTCTGGCATTTGGAATTTCCACTCCAGCTCTTTGCAAGTGAGAGGTCAAATATGAAAGCAGATAATATAAACACAACAAAAGACTGTAAAAGGTTACTGATTTGGAAGCCAAGACTGACCATGAAGGAAGGGATTTT